TGTTGGTCCTTCAGAGACTCCTGTTGGTCCTTCAGAGACTCCTGTTTGTCCTCCAGAGAGTCCTGTCAGTCCACCGAGTCCTTCAGAGACTCTCGTTTATCCTCCTGAGACTCCTGTTGGTCCACCGAGTGCTTCAGAGACTCCTGTCGGTCCACTGAGTCCTTCAGATACTCCTTTTTATCCTCCAGAGACTCCTGTTGGTCCACCGAGTCCTTCAGAGACTCCTGTTTGTCCTTGAGAATCTCTTGCTGGTGCTTCAGAGACTCCTGTTGGTCCTCCAGAGAGTCCTGTCAGTCCAGAGAGTCCTGTCAGTCCACCGAGTCCTTCAGAGACTCCTGTTTGTCCTTCAGAGACTCCTGTTGGTCCTTCAGAGACTCGTGTTGGTCCACCGAGTCCTTCAGAGACTCCATCTTACAGGTTCATGAACAAACAACCGAGTTCTTCTGACCACAGGAGGAGGTTCACCTGGGTTCTACCAGGTTGTAAGGAACTCTCTACTTTTCACTCAGGCTTCCAGTTCCAGACTGAGAACCTCCAGAACCTCCACGGTCCTGTTCTCTTCTGATCAAAGATCTCCAGTCTGTAGAGGTGGACCTCCATGTCCTGGCAGGTCCATCCTCCCTCCAGGTTCAGATGGAGATGATGGGAGATGTTCCAGAACCCAACCCTGCTTGAACTGAACCAGAACCGCAGCTGTACTCTGGTTTCTTCTTAGGAGTCTCCTGATGAGATCTGGGTTCATTTCTGGGCCCAGCTGAAGGTTCAGGTGTTCATCTGTAGAACTTTGTTAGTTTGGACCGAGACAGAAGCTACCAGCGGCATGAAAAGGTTCTGCTGAGGTTTCATAGGAATTTGGAGCAGAGCCTGTTCCTCAGGAACCATGAGAACCTAAGAGCAGTCTGCTATACATCAGACCCAGACCCAGGAAAGTTCTGCTGGCTTGTTTCTGATCAGCTGACTGATGATGTCACTCACCTGCCTTCTCTGTGGGCGTGTCCTCAGCCTAGAACACCTGACGCTGCTCCAGGGGATCATCGTTCTGGAGGAGTTCTGCAAGGAGCTGGCCGCCATCGCCTTCATCAAGATGCCTCTGGACCGGAACCAGCAGAACCTCAGCACAGAGGACGAGTCTGCACCCGGATCCACCGGACTGCTGGAGCAGAACCGACCCGTCCGGACCGGAACAGACTGAGCATCTGGACCAGAAATGACCCATCCGCACTGGAACCGGACCGGGAGAAACTGAGCACCTGGACCGGAACCGACTGAGCGTCTGGACCAAGACCGACCCGTCCGGACCAGAACCGACCCATCCGGACTGGAACAGACTGAAGTTCTGGACCAGAACCAACCCATCCGGACTGGAACTGACCCATCCAGACCGGTAAAAACTGAGCATCTGGACCAGGACCGACCCGTCCGGACTGGAACCAACCCATCCGAACTGGAATAGACTGAGCATCTGGACTTGACCCGCCTAAATCGGTGATGATGATTAGACCTGCTGGGAAGTCCCGCCCACTCCAACCAGAGCCAGTCACTGAACACTCAAAGTGCTTCCAGAAGCTGATGTGTGGTCCTGATCCGGGGTGCTACAGCACAGAACCGCTCAGAACCAGCAGGTTCCTCTGATCCTTTGAAGCTTCACTGAGTGCCTTTGATATGTTTTTCTGCCAAAGATCAAAGAACAGAGGGAAGCTGCTGATTGGCTGCTGCTCCATCAGGTCCTACTCCTGACTGGATCCGAATCAGCAGAACGGTTCTGACTGCTGGTTCTGGTCCAGCTGAAATGCTCTGTATTAATATCAGAGGTTCCATTATTTTATCCTGAGAGGATTAATAGTTTCCTCTAATCCAGTCAAACAGCTTCTAGAGTGAATCTGCCAACTTGTGATCTCAGGCCTGGATGGAGAGATGCTGAGTTTGGAGGTAGAGAACAAACCAATGTTGATGATCCTCATTATCCTCTATTACAAACATCCACAACCAGAAGAAAAGCTTTGGGGGGAAACGGGTGATTGATGCTGATGGAGAGTTGGAATGATGTCACATTCAATTAAGCCTTCATTACCGCAGCTTTTTATCCTATCTATCAATAATAATAATAATAATAATAATAATAAAGCGCAGCTCTCCTCCAGCTCAGAGGAAGTCAGAGCGGAGCAGGATGGGAGGAACAGAGGAGGATGAAGGCGCTGCTTTGACCAGGAGGTCTGGGGGCGGGGCAAATATGGAGGATGAGGGAAGTTGGGGTCAGTCATCCCATGTGGAGTACTTTCTTGTGATTGGCTCATATAAAGGAGCTCTGTGTTTGGTTGCAAAGCATCCCCTGTTTAATAAAATGCATGAATGTATCGAGGCACGTCAGGAGAGTCTGAAAATCCACACAGAAATGCAGTGAAGTTTAAAGAAGTTAATTTATAATTGTCTATGGAGCAGAAATACTTCTGTGGATCCTGTGCTGTCTGAGTGGATCTTTAAAGTGTATTTGTGAAAACTAAGACTGATGTAGCTCCATAGCTGAGCAGCAGGGGGAGCTGTAGCAGGCTTCCTGTCCTGAGCTGTCACTGTCATGTCGATGCCAGGATCCCACGGTGATCTCAGCGCGCTGCTGGACGGACCGAAGATCGGAGCAAACCAGCTTCTAACATCCAGAAAGAAACTCAATCCATGGGAAAAGGATCCAGTTAGATCCTCTTACTGGACGAGTTCCTGGATCCAGATTCTAGGTTCTGTTTGTCTCTGTTCTCCCAGCTCCTCATCATCATCACAGCAGCTCATCACTGACCCGGTTCTACTGCGGCAGCCGGGATTTAAACCCGCTTCCCTGCATTACAGTCAAACAGCAGAACGTGTTCCCCACCAGGACAGCATGTCTGTGAATAAAGATAACTGATCTGACTCTTCTGATTCTACGTTCATCTTTTCCCTAAGAACCCAGTCTGTGCTTTTCTGAGTTCCTGCTGCTGGAGTCCCTTTGCTTCTCTTTACACCTGAACAGAACCAGAACAGATAGATCTGCTATCTACAGATATTCAACCACAGTAGACCAGAGAACATCTACAATCGGACGACTCAAATGTTAAAACTGCTTAAAGGAAACTTAGCCACGTTTAAAGGAAACTTAGCCACGTTTAAAGGAACCAAAGCCATGTTTAAAGGAACCTTAGCCGCGTTTAAAGGAACCTTAGCCGCGTTTAAAGGAACCTTAGCCGTGTTTAAAGGAACATAAAGCTGCCTAAAGGAACCTTAGCCGTGTTTAAAGGAACCTTAGCCGCGTTTAAAGGAACCATAGCCATGTTTAAAGGAACAAAAAGCTGAATAAAGGAACCTTAGCCGCGTTTAAAGGAACCATAGCCATGTTTAAAGGAACCTCAGCCGTGTTTAAAGGAATAAAAAGCTGTTTAAAGGAACCTTAGCCATGTTTAAAGGGAACCTTAGCCGTGTTTAAAGGAACATAAAGCTGCCTAAAGGAACCTTAGCCGTGTTTAAAGGAACCTTAGCCATGTTTAAAGGAACCTTAGCCATGTTTAAAGGAACCTTAGCCGTGTTTAAAGGAACATAAAGCTGATTAAAGGAACCTTAGCCGTGTTTAAAGGAACATAAAGCTGATTAAAGGAACCTTAGCCGTGTTTAAAGGAACATAAAGCTGATTAAAGGAACCTTAGCCGTGTTTAAAGGAAC